ATCAAAGCTGAAAGCAGTTATTTCCTAATCCGTCCAGTATCAGGGTAAAACTAGCTGCAGCGCTGTGACTGTCGTTCATGTTAGGCTCTATGAAGCACACTCCTGGGCAGACTCTGTATCGAAGTTAAGGCGGACTGTAAATGAGAGATGAAAATGTCACACTTTGTTGTTTTTAATGCCAAACTCTGGAGAGATAATCGGCTCCACACCAGGAAGTCCATCCAGCAGGTTAAAAGAGCCGCCACACACCTGCCAGCCATTAATCTGGTTGTCCGTGACCTCGTAGCTGCTACAGTCCAGATGTGGCAGGTCGCCCTCTGCTGGAGGAGTGAAGGGACGCTGCATCGCTGCACAGTGTGCTGAGCTGCTTCTTCTTCTCTGCATTTATTCCTTCAGTGCAATGCATGATGGGACGCCGTGCATGGGTAGTGAGCGTCTGTCCTGTTCGTGTCATCAGACATCATGAGGCTTGTTTCATATTTGGAGTTTATTAAAACTACAGTGGAGCGAGTGACTTCAGCCAGCTCAGACTTCAGACTCATCCTCATCCTCTTCCTCACCTTCCACATATTCCCACACATCTTTGTAACTGTGTGTGTGTGTGTGTGTGTGCTTTAACTCATTTTCCTGATTCTCCACCTCCAGCTGCTGTGCCCCTCCCTGCGCCAGCAGAGGACAGCTTTGTACCAGGTCAGTTAAACACAACCAGGCGGGTTTAAAAAAAGCGGGTGGAGGGTCAGGGTGGAGGTTTAAAGATGGAGGTGACAGGGAGGATATGTGGGACAAATGGTGATGAAGATGATGGAGCTTGTGTATGGAGGTCCTTCAAAAATGCCCCGAAATGGAAAACTGTCCTTTTTCCTCAAACTAACAGCCTGTAGATGATTGATAAACTGCGAGGATCAATTAGTAAATCATGTCCAGATTAAGGAACAAATGTTTTCTTTAAACTCGTGAACATGAAGCTGAAATATATCAAATCAAATTAATTAAATTAAATTAATTCATAGTTAAAGTGTGATTGATCTAAACGAGGACATTTCATTCGGCCAGCTTACATCTATGTGACATTTCACACTGTACTTACTTTCCTGGATGTAATTAGATTACTTAAAGTATTTTGGGCGTGTGCTCCGTGTGTGATCACGTGATCACGAACAATCATAATCACGTCTGTGTCTTTGTTTGTCGTAGATGATCCTCGGGAGAGCGTCGGTCCTTACGGTGAGCGCCTCTGTCTCTCTGTGATGTCACTAAACGCTACAGCCTTCATGTTAATCGCTCGTTTTCTCGTCCTCTTCCTCAGGCGATGAAGCCAACACGATCGACACCACAGGAGGTGAGACAGCAGCATGTGAGGGCGGAAACCACGATCAGATTATTATAAAAAACGATGATGATGATGATGGTTTTGTTTCCTGTTGCAGTTCTGCTGGCCGAGCGTCAGACTGAGGAGAGCTCAGGTGAGTC